CCATCCCTGGACCATTCCAGGCCAGGTTGGACGGGGCTGTGAGCAACCTGATGTGGTTCAAGGTGTCCCTGCTCCTGTGGGGGGGTTGGGCTGGGTGACCTCTAGGGGTCCCTTCCCACCCAAAGCATTCTGTGATTCTATGATTCTAGAATTCTACGATTCTCGGGCACCCCTGCTTTTTCCCGCCGGGGCGGAGCGTGATCAAACCGCGGGGTGCAGCCGTGCGCCCGTGCCATGCCTGCGCAGCGGGTACCCCTTCCCAAAGCCAGCACTTTTGGACCATGTCAGTAGTTCAGGTAATATTTTGAATTCCATGAGTGGCCGAAAACAAAATAAATAGCAACTTAATTTGCCTACCTACAAGGAGCTATTTAATATCCAATTACCGTGCAGGAAAATAGATGGTCGCGGTGCTGGGAAAGCCTCAGCTACCTTTCACGCTAATTGGCAGTAAGGCGTTTAGAAGTATTTGTTAGTGTTTAATTAATTAGAAATCTCCTAATGGCTTAAATATCGTTTTGAAAAGTTATAAATGTTCCCCACCGTGTCCAGCTGAAGAGCGCCGCTCGGGAGGCTGCAGCCGAGGTCGATTCTCGGCCGCCTGCCGGTCACGCCGCCGTGTGGAGCTGGGGATGCTCTGGTCCCTCAGATCTCCCCGGCACAGAACGGGCGTGGGTTTCGCAATCGGGAGAACGTTTCTCTTGCTGTATTTGTTCTGCTGAGATGGAGACCTTAGAGAGGTCAAGACACTGAAATGCGTAACTGATCCCAGTTAAATTGTTTTCTTGCGAAGACGTACTGGGGGACGTTCACGCAGGGTGAGACCTCTTTACGCTGGTCTGCTACTGTAAGTGTGCCTTAGCTTGCAGGTTGCACTTCAGATGAATTAGAAGCAGTTTAAAGCCAAGTTGCTGGTAGAGAAAGTGGGACTCTGGCTCCAAGCCTCTGAAGCAATAATCACGTTAAATATTCCAAAATTACGTCAGTGACTGCCGTGTCAGTAGGCAGAGGGAGCTTACCTAAACCCGTCATTTCTGTCCCCCTCCCTGTGTTAGAATTCAGGACATCTATTTGATTGGCTTGAATCAGCTTAGTTTTGTTTCCTCCTAATTTCCTCTCTAGAATACTGACTTGCACGCAGGTTATTTTGGTGTCACCCAATCATTCACCTCTTAAAAGAGAATTGCGGGCTATAAAATTAAAATAATAATTCAGTTTATTGGGGAGGATATGCCTGGAGGCCTGGAGCCTTTCCTTAGGGCTCCCACTCACGGCGACGTCCTTGCCCAGCGTTTCAGCGACGGGCTGTGCCACCGAAGTGACCGCCGGCAGGAGTGCGAGGTGCGGGGCAGCACGGACATTCCGACCCACTTCTCACTGCATCCGCCATTCACTGGAACAGCCTCCTCTTCCCCAAAAAGCTCTGTGCCCACGGAGATGTAGACTACCCTTCAGCCTCCGTAGCGTGCTAGGGCTGGTGTTCAGCACCCGCTGCACCATTTTTAGGTGCCTTACTGCTGCCAGCCCTCGTGGTCCCACTGCGTTCGCCCCAGCGTCTCTGGTCAGAGCCCGGCTCCCAGCATTCTCCGGTGACACCAGTGCCTCAGCTCGTGCTACAAAGGAAAAGGGGAGCGAAAGAAGTCAGCCCTCACGTAGAGAAAGAAACGGTGCGTCCCCCAGAGCCTGGGTTTCACTGGAAGACACAGAACTTGCCTCCTCTTGGCGGACGGGAGCGGTTTGGCGCTGAGCACGCAGCGTGGCACCGCTCGGCGGTGGCGGGCGGGCAGGCCGCCCAGGCCACCCCTCAGCAGCGCTC